GAATGGAATTCTTGAAAATCAATATATTTCGATCGGAAAACTCTGGTTCCCGTCAGGAGACTTCCAATAACAATACCCATCTGTTATTTTAACAATTTTTAATACTAAAGATTTTTTATTTATCCCCCATTGCATTTTCTGGAGGTTTTGGCGGATATATAAAATATAGTTACTATGAAAAAATTATTAAATAAATAATAAATTGGAAATCTCCTGAAGAAGAACATTGAAAAATATTGATTTCTAAGAATTATATTCCATTTCTACGAAATATTTTCAGATTTTTTTTTATAAACAAATAAACAAATGGGTAGGACAGCCAGCAAAAAAATTCTCAAAAATTATTGGATTGGGATTTGCTAAAGCATAAGCCATATTTTAAAACAAATTAACAAAAAAGAGCCGTACGCTCAATTTTGGGAGTAGCAGTATGTATATGTATGTATGTACATTGGATATGCATACCACTTTACAAGCAACCAAAAAGAACCTCGCAGTAGACCCCTCAGCATCAGTGTTTTTGTAAGGCATTTCCGAAAAAATTGTTTTGGCCTGGGTGATACCTACATTCGGCAATAGTTAAAATACCTTCTTAGAAAAGTTAAATGATTTTTGGTGAGCTTTATTTATTGACATTCGGGTGGTATGTTGGGGTGATAAAAAGTGGGTACTAGAGGTCAATAAACTTTCGAACAAAAAAAAATAAAATTCTCCCCGAGACCTGAATAACGAATCGAATTAAATCTTAACGAATTCTTTAAAACTTCTTTGCAATGCAGAATACTCTGAAAAAATGGTTTGCAGGGTATGTATATTTGTAAAAGCATGTACATACATACTATAGTAGTTCTTCGAATGTTAAGCAAATTCTACATAAGCGCCCAATCAAGAATCTTGCCATTCACACTAGTTTTAGATTATACAAAACAAACATTTCGGCATTAAGCTAAGTAAATCCAGTTTCAAGTTTGGTTGATTGTGAAGCCGTAAGTCACACAATCGTATGTATGTATGTAGGTATGTATACCATAAGCCGTAAAGCTTAATTAAAATAAATAGTTTCCATAATCAATGAATTGCATAATTACTAACTACAAACATATATAAAGTGTGAAGGCGGATGAAGTCTTGTCCATTCAATGGTAAAATGGTAAACGTAATGATTTTTTATTTTTTTTTTTGCGAATTATACATACATACATACATGTAGCTAACGTATCCGCATGAATTTTTATGGTTATTCACCAAATCGAGCACTCTGCCAAAAGAGCAAATTAGCTTAAGCAACAACCACTAATCTTGCTCAATTTGGTGAATACCCCTTGTGTAAAAACTTTCATTCTCCAAACTGATTACCTGTTAGCCTCGAAATGAAAATTTATTCGTTAGGATTATGTATTTACACTTTTATGTCAGTTGGATATTTATTCTACTGGAACAAATGGAGAAAGTAAGTGTCTTAGAACGCTTGTGCAGGCAGGTCCATCGTACAGTTTCATAAGTAAAAACACTATCAGCTGATTGCCAAAATATGCCTACAGCTGAGATCACCTGTTTTTTGGCATGTGCTCTTATCTTTTACAATTTCTTTCATTTCTATTACAATTTCATTTATTTCTATTACAATTTATTCAAAATACACTAACACACTGAACCAAAAACACCAATACAATAACCAAAAACACACCTACAGCCTGCCAAAAACACACCTACAGCCTGCCAGAAAAAACGGTAAGAAGAAGAGTTACTTTACTTATGGAACTGTACGATGGGCAGGTCGATTTATTAGAAGTCCTTTTAATGACATGAGAAACTCTTATAGATTATGGAACTTTTTTGCATTCTAGAATTCCCCAGAAGATAATTTAGGTAGGCCTTCTTAAATGAAGCCATTGTAAAAGACCTACCAAATAAGGGCTGAAAAAAGTGATTGCATGAATTCTAGAAGGGATTTGTCTATTTACGATTTACTACTTTGTTGCAGTCAACATAAGTGCAGCCAAAAAAGGGCACCCAAAAAGGCAAGGAAACCCCTTACGTCAAAAAGCTGCAATTACAACAGACAGCCAATGCATTCGCTACTCGACTCTCACACCTGCGAAGTGCGAAGAGCTTGAAATTCTGGCGGACAATAAAATCGGCGGAACATTTTTCCTAGAGAGTTAGACGACTTACGGAAGATTTGAAGAACAGTTGTGACCTAGTGGCCGATGTCCAGAACGTACTTATTTATGGAGGGAATACTTTTCCATCCTATTGAATGGTACCAGCACGGAAAGTTGTGGAGAAGACGAATCCGAGCCCCCAGTCGATGTTTCACCGCTTGACTATGACGAGGTACGAATAACAATTACGCGGCTGAAAAACCACAAAACTGCTGGAACTGACAATCTGCCAGCTGAGCTATTCAAGTACAGCTGCCAGGAGCTGATAAGGTGCATGTATCAACTCCTATGCAGACTATGGTCAGATAAACGCATGTCCGACGATTGGAATTTAGATGTGCTCTGCCCAATCCACAAGAAAGGCGACTCCGCCATTCGCGCCAATTATCGCGGGATCAGCCTTCTAAGCATAGGTTACAAGGTCTTATCGAGTGTATTGTGTGAAAGATTAAAGCACACCGTCAAACAAACTGCTTGGGCCTTATCTGTGTAGCTTTAGACTTTGCAAATCCACCATAGACCACGTATTCACAATACGCCAAATCTTGGAAAAGATCCGCGAGAAAAGCCGCTTTCGACAGCACTAAAAGGAGTTGCCTATACGCCGCGATGTCTGAATTTGGAATCGGCGCAAAACTGATACGGCTGTTGAGCAATACCACCAGCTCCGTCAGAATTGGAAAATACCTTTCGGAGCCGTTTAATACGTTTCAGACAAGATGACTACCTTTCATAGGATTTCTTTAATCTGATGTTGGAGAAGATAGTAAGAGTCGCAGAACTGAACCGCTCAGGAACCGTTTACTACAAGAACGTGCAATTGATGGCATATGCCGATGGCATCGACATTATCGGTAACAAGAACCGTGAAGTCTGTTCTGCCTTTTCGAAGTTGGATCGACATCATCGGTAACAAGAACCGTGAAGTCTGTTCTGCCTTTTCGAAGTTGGGTAAGTAAACAAAGCGAATGGGTCTGGAGGTAAACGAGGACAAGACTAAGTGTCTCCTGTTATCAAACAAACATTTGACACATTCGCGTTTTGGAACCCACGTCACTGTTGACAGTTATAACTTCGAGAAAGTAGAGAATTTAATTTACTTGCAGAGTGGAAAGCCTCTTGACTCACAAAAAGGCCTTTTGGAAGGGCTCTTAGCTCTTCAAATTATCTGCTATATAAGAAGCGGTTTCATTACTTCACCTGTATATAATTTCATTATGATTGCAAACTAGTTTCATGCAAAAAAAAAAATTAAATTGAAAACCTTAATATTAGAAGGTAATTTAAAAGGTCAAGTAAGTGATGCTTCTATCCAAGGAGATTATTTTTGTCGAATTCTTAATCTCCATTGCTTTAAAATACCGTTAAATTTATTTCGTTATCCCCCGTTCTCGAGCTATTTGATATTGTCTCTTTTTCCAAAATAGAACACTGTGCGCCCGGTTTATGGAGTTCGATCTTGCGAGAACGTAGACAGCCTTAATTGTTTAATTTTTTTTACGAACACGAATATATCTACAAACATATATAAACACACATTGTTTTTGTTTATGTTTTTTTTTATTATTGGACAGAGATTTTTAAGTGCTTAAAATATACAAAAAATGAATAGTGCAATTCAACCCATGCGCGTGGTTGTTCTTAATTTGTTAGTGTCGATATTTACACAGGCACATATTGTATAAATATTTTATTAAATCGGGAATGTCCCGTTATGCAATCAATGCTTAGATAACTAAATGGAATAGCCTTTTCTTTTGTACATTCAAGTATAGTAGTTATACAAAATGAAGTATTATCAAATTATAGAAATGTCTCCATGTCTAATAAATAAGGTGAATATAATTTTGAAATGTTGAAATATGCAACGAAAGATTCAACGCCCAAAAAGACCGTAAAAATAGAGAGACAGAAGCCTGCAATGAGCTAGTGAATCTTTACTGCTTTCTTTCAGCAATTCCAAAAATAAAGTATACACTATTCTACATTTGTGACCTTTCTTATACTACATATGTATATGTATATATTTAAAAAGACATATTATTCTGCGTCCCTTGCTCTCTTTCGGCTCCCATGCATCGATCGCTTTACCAACTCAAATCCTCTGGCAACCCGCCCGGATACACGCCAGTCAAGCAGGCTGTACAATGTCCGCTCCTTTGCGGATTCGACGCCTTCTTATTCATTTCCACAGCCTTCACCAATCCCTCTACGCTCAAGTATTCCAAACTATCAGCGCCTACATGGCGTGCCAATTGTTCTGCATTCAATTTGTTGGCGATTAGCTCCTCACGCGTCGGAATATTGATGCCCATGTAGCAGGGATACTGCAGCGGCGGACTGGCTATGCGAATGTGCACTTCTGCGGCACCAGCATCACGCAACAACTTGATTATCGGTCCGATGGTATTGCCGCGTACGATTGAATCGTCGATCAGCACAAGTCGCTTGCCGGCCACATTCTCGGAGAGCGCACCAAATTTCTTTGCAACACCTAGTTTACGTAAACGCGTCGATGGTTGAATGAAAGTACGTCCCACATAACGATTCTTGCAGAGGACCTCAGCGAACGGCAGACCGGACTGGGGGAGGAAAAAAGGATGTGGTTAGTTTTTAAATTAAACAAAAAATTTCGATGGTGTACAAAAAAGTGTTAAGAACAAAAATGGTGAATAAAGATAAGGATTTATATTTGCAGGATAAGAGGAGCCATCAAGCTACATGACTGTCTTCAGATCTCCCGCTAAATACGTACCGCTTCCGAAGAAGCAGCTGGATTTCAGCGAACCCAAATGAACAACGAAGAATATCATGCCGCTGCCGGGCCACGTTGCTATCTGGACCAACGTGAGCTATGTGGTATTGGTATAGAGAGCTAAAGTAGGAGCGAGATGTATTTTCGGTAATAGAAATAGAAGAGGCTGAAATACGCGAAGAGCTTGAGACGATCGATCCAAAGGTTTCAGAAGCTCTCTTCGGCAAAAATAAAAATTTTGACGCGGAGACACATTTGCAGAGCGTGCTGGAACTACGGAGGGAAACTTCTGCGGGGTGGGCCTTCTAAGCAACAATCGCCTGGTGTGCACGGCTTTCAACTAATCGCTTACAATGAAGTTGGGGAGCAGCACTCTTTTGATTCAACTAATAGCCTCTAAAATTTCCTGTAAAGTCGCCTTATGTAAAGACCGTATACGGTTTTATCTAGCGTATTGTGTGAAAGGCTGAAGGCTTCAGTCAACGGAATTGATTATTTGTGTGAGAAGAGGACCAGCTCTGACCACCTCTTTATCGATTTTAAAGCTGTTTTCGATATCACGAAAAGGAGATGTCTATACTCCTGCTACGTCAGAATTGGCAAGAGCCGTTCGATACCAAAATTTTCGCGTGACTCTATAGTGCGACTTATTTAATCTGATGCTGGAGATGATAATAGGAGCTGCAGAACTGAATTGCGCAAGTAAATTATTTTACAAGAGCGTACAATTGTTAAAACGAAGCGTTTGTTCTGGCTTTTCCAAGTTCGCTATGGAAACAAAGCGAATGGATCTGGAACATCTTTTAAACAGTTAGCGCATACTTTGGACTGGTAGGTAGAAGTAAGTTTTCTCTCGTCGTCCTGCACTATATAAGTTGCTCGTGCTGGTATATGGGGAGACGGCGGGCCCTTGAAGTGTTAAAGGGAAAGATCCGGCGGAAGATCAATTGTCGCCAATTGGCACAGAAAAGAAACGACTGGCGTGCTTTATTAGCACCGGCAACAATTGCATAGACGGTTATAGCGCCAAACAGAATGTTACTTCTTCTTATAAGATATTTTTATAAAGTTCACCAAATATGGTTTTAATGTTATCATGAAAAAATCGCTTGTAGTAAATATAATCAGGTTAGAGCATATTTATGATGGTCCGGTACTACATTACTTCCCCTCGTTCCTCCATTGAATGATGTTTCCTTCGCCAGGGCACCCGATTTTATGCCTACTACAAAAAAGAGCATAAACATGCCTTCGTGACGCATACCCTTGTCCTCTTTGCCAGACGATACAGAGATGTATAAAAAAAACATAAATAAAAATAATAAACTGAAAGAAGCATTCTGCTCCTTCGGGACAGCTTACAATCCATTAATTTCCACTTAGACGGTAAGTACTCTGAGAGTGGCAGAATGTCGAAGTTTCGAAATGCCTCCAGACATCCAATTATATATGTGTTTGATTCGATTATGGAAAATAATACGTTTAAAGGTTTTTTTTCTGGGAAAAATTCCAGTAGTTTTATTCAAAGGTCACAGAAATTTGGTGTTGTATGAATCGTGTTTACACTCAAAAATTATAGCTGAACGATTGATTATTATACGATTTGTTTTTATCTTTAAATAATTTTTCCTCGTCCTTGTATGTTTTCATACATTTTATTGATTGAAAAGCGATTGGTATAAAAATAACATATGTCTGCGAAATTTTACTTTATTTTAGAATTATTAACAGTTGTTATGAAAAGCCAAAAATTAATGAAACTAAAATTAAACTTTTACTTAAAAAACCAACAGTATTAGTTAAAAATACTCTTAAAAAGACTAACTAAATCAGAAACACTTTTGGAGATTCGAAGTGTACGCCGGTAATATGCGGTAGCACTAAGAAAATTAAAAAAGTATTTTTCCAGGAAAATTTATGTGATGGAATTTTTTTATAATTTCTCACGTAGCTTAGTACCTAATACCTACCCAAATAGCTCACTAGTTTTTTAGGATTAAAAGCATCGCAGACCCTTTTAATTAGAGACGTGATGACATGCATATTTTAGATTTTTTCTCGTGAATAAAACAAAATATAATAAATTTAAAATTTCATTTTTACTTAAAAAACGCCGGTTTCAAGTGTAAATTAACTCTGAGTAAATCACGAGAACAAGGATATTCGAAGGTGACGCCAGTAATAGGCAGTAACAAAACAAAAAAGACTTTTCTCGGAAAATTTACGTGAAAGCATTTTTTAATTAATTTTTTCGTAGCTTACTGCCGATTGCCTATTCAAATGCAAATATGATTGATATTATCGGATTGTTGAAATCGGATAACATTTACAATTTCCGCCCATGGCGCAAGGGCGTGGCATTTTGCCAATTTATGCCATTTTTCATCTTTTATAAATTTTAAGCAAGCGAACTGCGTGTACTGAAGTTCAGCCAAATCGAAATGAGTTAACGTTTTGTCACATCTTATACATAAAAATTTATGCGGATCGAAAACTAGCGCTTTCCGAAAAAAAAAATTATAAATCAAAATCTGAGAAGATTCGAATTTTTCAAATACTGCACCGCCAGGCTAATATATAAATTTTTTAAGAAGTGGGGGGAAGTAAAACCTCAATAAAACAAGTAATTTTTAAGCAAAAAACAAAACCGAATTCATAAAAAAATTCCGACGAACTGATAACTTCCTCCTTTTTTGGAAGTCGGTTAAAAATAAAAAAAGAATAAAAAATGAGAAGCGGAGAAAAATTTTATTAAATATTTTCCAGTTCTATTTTCCCTAACTAGTTGTATATAAATATGTATGTTCATATGTGTGTGTGTATCGCGTCAGCTATACGTATACACACATGTAAAGAATATCAATGCATTTTCTAATGCATACACATATGGATGTATGCATTTCTATGCGCGAACATTTGTTTAGAAGAGATCAACGCATTGATATCTTATTTCGGTTGTGTACAAAATATTGACCGTGAAATGTATTACAATTAATGGGTTTTTGTTAATTTCTCATGTTTATGCATTTTACTTATCTTCTATTCTAAAGTCAACTGTATTTTCTGTGTGTCAATAAGTATTATTGTACGTATGTATGCACACATGTTCAAAGATATTTGAATAGAATTATTGATGGGCTTTTTCTTTAAAGTTTATATTTTTATTACACCAGTCAACATTGATTTTGGTGCAGAGCAGCTGCATGTCTGTTCAAACCTTGAGCCTTATACTGATTACATAAATAGAAACAAATTGTATTTACTAAATGGAGTTTTTGAAATATACGGGTTTTTGATTAAAGAAAAAATGGTCGATTATTAAAAAGTAAAATGTCTAGAAAATTCGTTAGCCGATCAAAACAAATAATATCTATATTTTAAATGATAGTTAATTAAATTTGCTACCTTTCGTCAATAATTAATTTTTAATTAAAATTACACGTTTTCGAGAAATATACAAAGGTTAAAAAAAAAATGCTTTTTTTTTTGCGAAAAATTTGAAAATTTCGTGTGCGCAAATCTAAGTCTTATCGGTACGTTTCCATATATAAATTGACTTTAATATAATGTCTTCATCGCGTAGAAGTTATTTTGATGCGCCAAATGTATTTTGTTAAATTTGTGGTAAATTCACGTTTAAATGGTTAATATGTATCCCAAACTGTCTGTAAACTGTGCTGTGAAGACTTGATACAGTGGGCCAGTAGTCAAAGAAACTGTAAGAGGTTCGGAGTGACTATGCGATGAAAAGAACAGAAAAATATTTTTAATGATTACTACTCCTGCAGCGGTAAGTAAGTGGCTAGAAGACTCTTACCACATTCTGGGGTAAGTGCCTATTCCAACAGTTTGATCCATCCGTGATCCGGCATCCGAAGAAATCTTCAAAGAAGTGAACAGTGACAGTAATTCCGAAGGAATAAGATCTATAATCCCAAAACTATTTCTTATGAAAAAAGGACCAGGAGAAATATATCCAACAGTACCCAGTAGGGTGGTTCAAAAATGAATATGAAAACTTAAAGTCCGAATTTTAATGCTCTCACGGAAATCGTTGGGACGGAAGAAGTGCTTCTTAAATGTATGCACATGATGTTAATTTAACAAAAACGTGCCCATGAAAGGTTAAAATGCACCCTAACACTTAGATAAAGGCCAATACAAGAATGAAAGTGAAGGTGAGTACGTACATAGATGAAGAAAAGGATAAAGGCAAAGGTAAAAATAAAAAGAAAAACAAGGAAGCGCAAAGATAAAGGCAAAATTTCGGGATACTCGGGACTAATCAGGATTTTCAAGAGTATTTCGGGATTTTCAAGAGTATTTCGGAATTTTCGTTATATTTATCGATCTTGCTATCGATATTATTTTCGATATACTTATCGACACAATAATCGATTTAGTTATCGATATATTAATATATATTTTGATCGATGAAATAATCGATATTTATTGATACTTATCGATACCGTTATCGATATTTTTATCCATGCATATAATAAAAGATTTTTTGATCGATATTTCAATACATTTTGTTTGTTGTTGATTTTTTTGTCGATATTTTATTGATTTAGCTATCGATATATTTATCGATTTTGCTATCGATAAAGGCGACGAAAAGGGTAGAGGGAGGGATGAAATATAACCTTAAGCATATAAGATTATATTAACTAGCCTGTCGTTTTATTCACAATTTTGAGCCAATGAAATGCATATGTACATATGTACATTGGTTATGTGACAAACTAGATACATAGGTATGTAGCGTAAGTTTCACTACTCCCAGGCGCACTTGCCTTTTTTTACTACAAACGATTTCTTATGGGTCCCCCCATTTGCATTTTTTGGGTTTATGGGAGACCTGTCTAAAAAGGAAATTGTTAAATTAATAATTTAGAGAGAGTTTTTCGGTCGAAAAATATTGTTTTTCAAGAATTCTATACCATTTCTAAAAATAATTCTTTATTTTTTTTAAACACATGGAAACCAAATAAAAAAAACAGCGGTATATTTATATTTTTTTGGTATAGAACATTCCGACTTTACTTTTTTCGACCAACCTAGTGCTCAGTCATCAATGACCAATTAGCTGGGATCATAGAGCATTCATATACATACATACACCAAGGGAGCACTCATAGAACAACGAAGCGAACAAAAGCAGTTCTACTGGGTTGATTTAATAGCACGTGTATTTAAACACCAAAGAACCGTTATCGCGCAATCACTATGGCCAAAAATTGTAAGGCAAAGAACTAGTCGTTTTTAGAGATAACAAAAAATAATACATGCATACATACGTACATATGTATGTACATATATGTTTTGCATAATTGGCAAAATTATTCATCAAGGCTACTACTGAATCTATCGCAACTATGTATTCGGTTTCAGTGATAGCATTTTCGTAAATTTCATGGAAATTTACAGCCTTAAATAATATCTACCTCGAACGATAGGCCGCATCAACGATTCTTTTGCAGAGGAGTGCTTAACAAATTAGTCCAGCGGCATCATTTAAGCCGGTTTGAGCAAGACGAAGGCGAGCGTTGAAGTAATAAAATTGCAATCAGAGACGATGTCCTGTCGGACGCATCGTTCAAGAAACATAACAAGGCTGTTAAGCTATGATGTATTCAACAATAGATCCCAATAGCCCCCATAGAAAGCATGAAATTGATAATTGTAAAAAAAATATTGCAGTTTAATTCTTTAATTTTTACTAAACTAAAAAAAAAGTACTTAGTTTTTTCAAAACTTTGAAGATAAGACACTTAGAGCACGCAAGAGGATTACATAAAATTTAAATTTGGTTTTTTGTTATTTTTTGGCCTAATAAATCATATTTAACCAGGGATGGCAATCATTGGAAGTAAAATAATTTAAAACAACATTTAATCATTATTTTATGATATTTTTTTTCTCTCAAAAGTAATGATTATTATTGATTTTTATTTTTTAGCTCAACAGAAATGATTATTATTTGATTTTTATTTTTTCGATAACAGAAATAGTAATTATTATTGAGTCTTATTTTTCCACTTAAAAATAATGATTATTTATAAAATTAAAAAGGCCATACAGACTGAAATTTCGATCTGAAAATTTTGGGACTTAATCCTTTTACTAGGGTGTCGCTACTTCTGAAAAGGATACATCGAAAATCACGCTGGTATAGCTTTTTAATGTTTTGAAGGATCATTATTCTCAAGTGAAAAAATAAAACTCAATAATAATTATTATCTTTGAGCGAAAAAAATAAAAATCATAATATAATAGTTATTGTTGATCGAAAAAATAAAAATCAAGTAATAATAATTACCTTTCAGCGAAAAATTAAAATTCAAATATTGATTATTATTTTTAATTTTTTTTTTTAAATTACGTAGGACGTACGTATTTTTCGCCCCTGTATTAAATAATAGTAACAAATACAATGACCACATGATCAAGTCTAAATAGCAGCAGAATAGTTGCGCTTGATTGACATTTTAAAAAGTGGAAAAAGCAACAACAGTTTACGTGGCGAACTTAGCACAGTGGGTGGACCACTGTAACTTTACCATCTATAAACTGTTGTTGTTTTTTTTCACAATAATTTTTCATAAAAAACGGTTTCGAGCTCAATAAAAATTTTTTTAAAAAGTTAAATTATTATTTTCAAATAACATTAGCACGCAAAAAATATTATTAATTTAAGCATATCAGGTATGCGTAGAAATTTGTTAAATGACCGAGGATATTTGTTGGTGTTGGTTGATTTTTCCGACAGGGAGGTAAGATGATTTATTTTGGAGAGAATTTCCATGGTACGTTATCAAGGAATTTAATTTAATTTATTAAACATTATGAAATTTATTTTGATTTGCTTTAATTAATTTCAAAAAAGTTATTAGTTTCTTAAATCAAATAAATTTTTACTAAAATAGAAAAACAAAATAATATCGAAACTTAACTATTTAATAATGCCCCTTATCGTGAGTTTCGCCCGATTTTTTTTTTTCATTTTTCATCCAACTGTAGTGAACACACCGAAGCGAAAAGTAAAAAGTGAACAATTTCGGACGAAAATTTAACTCATGATTAGGCTGAATATAAGTTTAATAAAAAACTACAGGCGCCCACAATTTTAGTACAACACATACACTCACACATATCCATTCAACACTCACCTCCCTCGCATAGCCATGCGCCGCCGCTGTACCCGATTCCGGCACTGAGCTTACTATATCAGCATCGATAAGCGCCTCGCGTGCCAGCTGCCTACCGCACTGCATGCGCACCGAATACACCATCTGCCCCTCGAAGATCGAATCGCCGCGCGCAAAGTAAACATATTCGAAAATACAGAACGCTGTGCGCTTGTAATCGGGCAGACGAACAATGTCAATGGTGCGAAAGCCATTACGCGTTAATTCCACAATTTCACCCGGTTCCACTTCGCGTACATACCGCGCCCCAATCGATAAGAAGCCACAACTCTCACTCGACACCACCCAACCATCGGCGGACGCATCCTCGACCTTGGCATTCGAGTCGCCATAGATGGGCATGATTTTGCCAAGGCAAAGCGGCCGATTGCCGTATGGGTCACGCGCCGCATAAATCTTATCTTTGAACATCATCACAAGTGAGTATGAGAGTGGCGCCAATTGCATAAAATGACGTATGCGCGCCGGCCAGTCTGGTCCCTCCAACTCGGAGACACCTTCGGGGCACAAGCATAGCGATTGTCCGATCAATTCGCTATCACTGTGAGTGGATAGGCCGACGCCGCGGCTAAGTAAATCACGTCGTAGCGATTCAGAGTTAACTAGCTCGCCATTATGCGCCACCGCAATGGCGCCGTGTAGTGTGTGTACAACAAAAGGTTGACAATTGACAACCTCCGAGGCGGCCGAGGTGGAGTAGCGTGTATGGCCGATGCCGAGATTGCCCTTGAGTTTCTTCATAGACTCGTCATTGAACAGCGTACTAATCATGCCCATACCCTTGTGTGTATTAAAATTCTTGGAGCATTTGCCCTCGCTTGTCACAATGCCAGCCGATTCTTGGCCACGATGTTGTAACGCTACCAAACCCAAACAAATTACGTGTGCCACATCAATTTGTGTTGGCCAATCGCCACAGGCAATGGCACCAAAAACTCCACATTCATGTGTCAAACCAGTTGCTGGCTCTGCAGCGTCCAATGCGTTCGTCGCCGTCTGCTCTTGCTCAACCTTTGCCAAATCCACTGCCAAAACGCCGCCGTCCGCCTCTGTTGATTGCAAATCCACGGCGCATCCACCTGCCGCGCCTCCACCGTTCTCAGCTGTTGCCATGTTCAATGTCCACTACTACTAGTTCAACTCGGCTCTGTACCTGTTGATAGTAGATAGTTGATTCTTAATTTATTGTATAAACGCGCTCGCGCTAGTTAGCCTTGACGCACTGCCTACGGTTTCCGGTTTGTAACCTCTTGTCTAGTTAGGTCAACCATGCGTTACGCGAACGTGTTGCGAATTAGCAAATGTGTGTTTCATTCAGCGTAGCTGCCGTACAAGAAATACCATGTGCGTATTGGTTAGGCGACGAAGTGCGCACCCAACGCGATCGTTTACTTTATGCCGCGGCGAATCGTTTTGGACTGATTTGTGGATGTGGACGAGTAGAATTGGAAGCAAGCGCAAAGCAGAGTTCGATCGTATTCCAGCGAGAATACAACGAGATGATCGCCTCAGGCGCTCTCGCGCGCCATTCAGAGTTGATACATTATGGCGCGATTGTTAACTCGTGGATGTGATAGTTTGTTTGTGTGGCGGGTCGTTAATACCCAAATGAGAAGTGCCTACATAAAAACGAGTACATCAGAAAAATGTTTGTGTACAATATATATATGTATATGAGATAATGGGGTTCTATTGGACTGTACCACTTTAAAAGCAGATAAAAAAAAGTGCGCATACACCCCTGAAGTTAAAGTAGATTTGAAAGACAATTAAAAAAAAATTTGCCGAAATTGTTTTATAAATAGTTTTGCTGGAATAACCAAAAAGCTTTCTTGAAAAATTTTAATGATTTCTGGTCAGTTTTAATTCACTGGGATTAGAGTGTTTAGAATTTTTAAGGATGCAGTTTGGTAGTCCATTAAATTTTAGTATAATAAAGCGCAAGTTTTATGTAGCTAGGGCCTACCGTTTAGCCTTATAAAGTTTTACATACATATTTTTGTTTTAATTTTTTAATAAACAGGACTAAAAATATTTATAGAAATAAGAAAGTCCCTTAAAAAAAATCGTCGATTCCCTTCAACTCAAACTAGAAAGTGCGAAACCCAGTCGTCATTCTTTAAAGTTTTAATTGATTTTGGAGTTTTATTTAAAAAGTTAGAAAAATAGCAACTTGTGATTTCTATAATAAAATCATTAAAATTAGAAATCACAATCATTTTTTGTGGAGCTGACAGGGAACTCATATTAAAAGTCTAATTTGTTCTTTTTAAATTTTAAAAATCGAAAGATAATTTTTTGGAAAAGTATGAAGTATTTTAGAACGAATTTCGGCTATTTCTGGCAAAATTTGGTTCAGAGACAAACCTGTTTCGGCGTAGCGCCGCACAGTGTTTCGACTATATGGAGGCAGATGGAAATAATAGTACACCTGCACCGATTTCACTGAAACTTGACATGTGCTCTAGTTTTACTTAGAAATAGAGAATTATGAAATTTTGTAAAGATGGAATAATTGCCACGCCCTCTACTCTTGTGGGCGGAAACATTAAATCTCATCCGATTTCGATGAAATTTAGTTTGTAGTCTTTATTTTATTAGAAAAACCTAAATATAAAATATGGGGAAGATTGGATTACTATAACGTTCAAAACTCACAAAAAATGTGGGCCCAGTCATTAAATGTGATGGAATTTTGGGTAATTTTTGTTTCCTGCTTTCCACTCTCAGAAAACAAAGGTTATGCAATAAAATGACTTAGGTGTCAATACTCGCTCTTTTCCCAATATCTGGTGGGATATTTTCATTGTTTGAAAAATTCTTTTCGCTAGATTATGCAAAAAGAAGCTGAAAATCAAAAATTAAGAAAATCAAAAATTACATATATTTGCAAAGTCGCGCGCAAAGATCAAATTATATATCCGAAAACTACATAAAATTCTCTAAAATATTAGTCTAATTTCAAGACCTGACGGACCGGTACTCACACTTTTTTTTACTAATAATCTTTAGCATCAACATTTCAAGTAAATTTTTTGGTAAGAAAATAGGAAAATACCAAATAAATGATAAATACCTTCACCTGAATATTCCACGACATTTAGATAATTAATTACAATTGAGAAAGAAACACTTTCTGTAATGGGCTCAGCGCCAAATGCAACTTAACTGATTAGTCGGTATCGCGCCCATTCCCGTATTTTTTTGGAAATGTATCGTTCGTGAAGAAGGGGGGTGAGTAAATAATGTAAAATTTGGTACTTATGACTTTTACTATTCCCTGTCTAAGTCAAACCGTTTTTTTACCAACTGTCACCATGACTTTTTTCTACTTGCCTCCATATAGTCGAAACACTGTGCGCCGTCCTAAAAATTAAAGCCTGGAACTTGTATAAAGAAAACGGTCAACCTCGAAATCCAATTGAAAATCTCCTTTGTCGTCAAGTGCTACTTCGGACTAAATGGCACAGATGCTAAGATCAAGTGAAGGGAGGCTTGGCCAAAATAGAGATCCATTTCCTGATATGCGATTTAACTGAAGTCGCAGAGAAACCAAGAGGCGGTACTTCATAATGTATTTCTATAGTCACACACACCTCTATAGTGACACATCACACAGTCGCCATGGCAGCTAGCAAAAAATTTGCAAATGCAATTCCAACTGCAAATCCAAGACCATTTCCACAACATCCTGAACAGCCTTTATATTTTTACTTCACAAAGCGTTGCATCAACTATCAGTTTCACACCGATCATACAAACGGGTGCAAAAGGTCGGGACACGTCTTGGATATACATATGTATGTATTTCGATAGCTGAAACATCATTATAGCCAACCCAAAAGAATAAAACCCCAAAATCGATACTTTATTTCAAATATCACTGTGAGACGCCACGCTGCGGACAATCCATTTTCGTTCTAGCTTTCATATTGAATATCAGTTCCGTTCACCGCCATTTTTCTGCACGCGATGATTGACCGAAACCAACTACATACCAACTATTAACTTAGAAATAATACTGGATTACCAAGCAAGCACTTCATAGTTTAAAATCACAATACAAGCTTATTTCGTTCTGCCTTCAGAGGGCGCTAATCTCTTAAACCGGAAGTTTCTACGACATCCGGTCTTACTAGGCTTGCATTAGCGGAAAGATTTCCTAACAGTTTTTTTCTCCACTCTGACCGGCAATTGACAGAATTACTTTTAAAGATTCCAAGCCAAACAGCGGCCCTGGCAGGTTGGTGTCATTACATTTCGAAGCTCATTCAACCACAATTACTAGATATTAAGGTCCGACAATGACATTGATGAACAAATGCACCCTTTACTCATATTTGGTACGCATAAATAGCTTGATGTCTTTTAAAGAGGAGAGAGTGGAGAAAGTTTCATATTTTGTGTGGATATATATATCCATACATACATATGTATGTAGTACAAAATAAATTCACTTCTTTTGATGAAATAAAATTCTGAACAACCGATTTGCAGACAGTTAGTTATGTATGTACTAAAGACCGAAAGTATTTTTAATATTATATAAATATTACAACACTTTGGGTTGGCATCACGGTTTTTCTTGTTACAACAAAACTTATCAGCCATTATCATATACAAAGGGTAATATGATATTATGTATGTACATTAGACTGCATCACTCCCCATACAAAAAAAAAAAAAAAAAACAAAAAAAAATCGGTACTGTGTTTCCATTGGAATTATATATGTACTCTATTTGGCCTTATCATGAGTTTCATTTTCCCCGAACCGGTTCACTTTTCAATTTTGATTTCCATTTATTTACTATGGGCGGAATAAAAACTGGAGTTTTTATGAATAAAAATAGTTTCTTAAAGAACTTTTTGAAAAAAATTTCCTCAGATGACAAAACAGAGTAAGCTTAAAAAATATGCGTACAAATATTTAAAAATCTTTTCAACGGAATCGTAGGGTAATGAGATTTTTGATGCTGTATTTTTCCGAAATATTTTGGTGGACGTCTTAAAATATAATAATTTTTTTAATCTCTGCGGAAAACCGCAACTTTTTTTGGTGATGCAGTCTAATGTACATACTACATATACATATGTGTTTAACCTACCACATTTGTGTGAATAATTGAATTAAGTAAAGACGTTTGATTTTTATTACTAAATTTGGTTAAGTAAGTTTTGCACAAATTTTATAACTCGATAAGATTTTTACTCTTGCCACAACTCGCATTAGATTACCTGTGAATACATACGTCAGCTTTAACTTTCTCACGCGAACTTCATCTGATAAGTCGATTTCTTTTAATTGAGGTAAGTTCTATGGTTTGTTAGTTTGAAGCCATATAATAGGGGTCTTCATCAAAAGTGATAAACTCTTGATAAACTGGATAGTGATAAACTTATCATTATGATAAATAAACTGTCAAACTTTGTATGGAAATCTATTTAACCAAAGTTTATCATTTTATCAAACGACTTTGGTGGATAAATGTATACATTTCAGCGAAATTCAACCCTTACTGGTTGCCAGGTAATCGCTTTTGCTACGAGCACAAAAAAACAAATGAGCACAATGTACGAGGTAAGAATGAAACGTAACTAGCCGTATAAGTTAAATAATAAACAGTTTTATGCAATTATTTACCAAGGTGCGTTTAAACAATTTATCCCTTTATCACTTTTCATGAAGACCCCTAATGTTTTTACTAAAAAGTTAACTCGCTGTATTTAAGCAGAGGGAATTATAAAGTGATTTGAGACCGGACATCGCTGGTATCTTTATTTATTTATTTTTTAATTTTATTTTTTTTTATTTTTTTTATCTCGAAGACGCCAAATTTTCTGCGAATTGATGCAAATTTCAATATCAAACAAAACTGCGGAATAAAAGTCCGCTTTATTAAACTAACTGGAATCTTATTATGGTACATCGAGTTGGGGTGAAGAGTACCCTATGTTCACAATGATAATCTCTATTCTTAATATGAAGGAGACTTAAAGCTTAAACAGACGGCAGCGTTGATTCGGATTAACTCAGACTTAATACGGATCAATTGCAGTTAACTCCCGAGTTGATCCGGATGAACGCTGCCGTCTATTTATGCTTATACATTCTTCCCTACGAAAATTCGCAACTGCGATTCGGCGTGGATATTATATCAATACAAACGATTAATACATTTTTGATTTCCGGTGTTACTAGTAGGACGAAGTGAGTGAATCTACAGACTTATCATAATGCATTAATACGTACAAAGACAGCACGGAGCAGATAAAAGAGCAGGGTTGTTTTTGTAAGAAGATGTTGATAGTCTACATATATATTTATAACTTTTACAAATACCTATCTACCCTTTCTCTATTTATTTATGAATGTTTTCACTTTTCTAATGAAATACAATTCAATTAACATTCTGTATGCTTTTTTAGAATTTATACTATTCTATATTTTCGTTTTAATCTAACAAATTACATATTTGTTGTACAATTTTATTTTATNATGAATGTTTTCACTTTTCTAATGAAATACAATTCAATTAACATTCTGTATGCTTTTTTAGAATTTATACTATTCTATATTTTCGTTTTAATCTAACAAATTACATATTTGTTGTACAATTTTGTTTTTCATAAATATCTTCATTTTTTAAGTGTTTTTTACAATTTGCACAATCGCGAAAAAATATACATTATATACATACGCAAATATGTCTTAAGTAACCTTTTTTTGGTATTTCTATTACCTCTTTATTAAGTATTTCTTCGAGGCTTTAAGTAACAAATAGCGCTATAAATTTTAAAACGAAACTAAAAATTTAACGTAATAGAATTGCACTACATCCTATATTAAACAATTTACAACATGCAGACTGAGGTAAATTTAAAAAAAAAAAAGTTTAAATACTACATTCACATCATATTTAAAGTACATTATGGTAGTAATGACATTATTAATTAGGTGTTAAAGCGAATTAGGAGGAGCCATTCTTTGCATTATCACCATTCAAATACGTTGTCGTGGAATTTGTCGGACTGTCATTACAATTCGCTTTGAAAAATTTCGAATGCCGCAATTGACGACTTTCCTCATCCTTGTCCAGCAAGTTGTTACAGTCTTTGATATCTTTTTGTATAGCATTTATTAGAGCCTCCAGCGATTCGAAATTACATTCTGGGCGCAGATAGCCGACGATACAAACTTTAAGTAGGCGGCCATACAAATCTCCATCAAATTTATGCATAATATGGGTTTCCTGTTTTTAAAGGTTTAAATTTTGTTAAATTAAAAACAGTTATCAAAAATATTACAAACTACTTCAATGCATTAAAGTGTCAAATCCTGCACATGAGATGTGTTTGATATTAACTTCACTGATTAAGTCCGTTCATCTTGAGAGGCATCTATTATCTTTTTCAAAAAAATCGTCTAAGTATTATTAGTACGTCAATTGATCGCTTGGGGGCGATAAAATTTATAAATGTTACCCATGATATCAGTAAATTAGCCTTTAACGATAAGGTAGTGCGAAGTGAAAGCGATCACGAAAATTGTATAACAATTAGACATATACATACATTCATATGTAGTACGTACAATCGTAGGAAATGTACATAAGTATATACGTATGCAAATTTGAACATATGTTTTCTGTTTATAATACAAATACACGTAGTTAGTTAAAATGGGATTCACGCTAAGTTTAAAGATTAGTCCGAAACGTTGAAAGCTGATAATTGTGTCTACACAGAGGTGTTATATCAAAGGATTGATTGTAATTGTTGTCTCTGTTGGAAATTTTGTGAGTAAAATACTTAACAATTTTACGTTTGCATGCCAGTGTTTAACTTAAATCAGAGTATAATGAAAGAATTCAACGTCAATAACGAAGCACATTGTCTTAATTTTAAATCACATACATATGTATACACATACATACATATGTATGTATGTACGTATGTATGTATGTACTGTATGAGATGATCAAACTTTGATATAGTTTAAATGTGGGATATGTACATGTATATATACGTTGCGGCCAAACAAATAAACCAATGTAATACAGTTCTAAATTCTAAATATTAGGAAAATGGCCTCAGTTGGGATGTTAAGTTTCATATTTGTCATGAAAATTTAAACATTTACCATCAGAAACCTATAAGGTTAACCACAACCGTGACATAGGATATTACGTTTAAGGTAATTTAAGACCTCGAAATCGTCTTCCACTCACAAAAAATCTACATACGAGTGTAAGACAGCACACATGTATCTATATACACATGTATCTATATAAATATGTACATACATATTTAATTATTTACTCGATTTACCCACATGCGATACAACAGTAAATTTCATATACTATGATGAAATATAACCGAGTTTTGCGGGCAATAATGACTGCGGCAATTGTTTCTTTTTTGCGCAACTTGACTATTCATACGTTGACATGTTAAATAAAAGAAATATAAAATTAATATGTTAGCGGTATATGTATGTATAAAAATACTATGCACGTACATGAATGAATATATGGAATTTGCAATACAATCAAAATCAAACATCCCCACATTCAATTAAAATCGCTTCAATTAAGACACACTTCAGTGCATTGCACTTCAATGCTTTGCAAGTATTTTTTAATTGATTGTTCTGATTTTTTTACTCACCATACTTTTCTCCTTATTGTCATAGTAAGGATTTGTGCCCATGCTCATTACCATTTTATAGACTTCACCATTATCCACATTCGCCCATCCATAGTAGATGCCTAACGAAAATGCGGCTGGTAGCGATTTGACCACCTCCAATGAAAAATTCGCTTTGGACGTTACATAAAAGAGATTAATTAAAAAATGTACTTATTTAACATCTAATCAATCAATGCGAAAATCTAAGTTAAAAAGTGAATTACATATTTGGCAATGCCAAGTTTAAAGTACTGTGCTTACATATTGCCAGTAGGTAAATGCTTAGTAATCATTATAACACATTGTGTAAGTACCTGTTGGTATGCCTAGTTCACTGGAGCCGCGTCCGAAACCGCGTACAATTTCACCGCTGGCAAAATAAGGCAAATGGTTCAGCATTTTGTTGAAGCTGCGTTTAAATATGCTACTATTGCGTATCACTGTTGTTTGACATGAATTGCTCAAGGCACTATTGCTACTGGAACTGCGAAGGCTGGCACTTAAGGCACCTCCACTTGTTAGGCAACGGAAAATTCGAGAAACTAATAACTGATCACTAGAGAGTGAAAATCTTTGGAAAGCAATGTCAAATACTTTCTTTGCCGGATAAGCTGTTAAACCGAGTATACACATTAAAGCCTTGAGTCAGAATGATGTGTTATTCTAGGAGCTCCCTTTTATATATGCTAGATTATGTGATACACTTGAGGGATTGATTAGATACGGCAATTGTCTGTAGACGTAAACAATGCTCCTCACAGTTAATATAAGACATTCGCACGACTTTTACTCAGCCAAAACCCAAAACTGGCAAACACGAGACAAGACTGTTGTGAATCGAAAAATATACGAATTGTTTTTCTTTTATTTATTTTTTATTAAGCTGCTAGTGTCAAAAACATATGTTTTTGAGCTTTTAACAAAAAGCTTTCAAGTGGTGTGTGTATTGGCTGATTAGATAGGTGTAAAACCAAAACAATTTATTTTCTGATAAGAATGACCTTGTATACTGTAAAATGCAGAGTTTATGGTGTTTTCTTTTGTTGGAGTGAAAATATGATGGATTTCGACCAAACCAAATTTATAGATTCATATCGAGGGTTTACTCAATACACTGCAAAGTTCCCAAAAACTATTTGTTAATATAAAAGTCAAACTCTGACTCAACTGTCACGGCTGATGTTAATAATAACCTTTAACATACTTTTCAAATGTCAGAAACTAGCCTTTATACAAATTGCGAATATATGTTGTTGAATGTAAGCCCACGATGTACACTTCGGTCAATCCGTATTATTTATATTTTGCACACGGTTTTCAAAAGTGACACAACTCCAAAGTTTGTTTTCTTGAAATCATCCGCTAAAAACGAACACAGAGCTTCAGAGTACGAACACAAACCGAACATTGTCGCAACAAGTACGAAAAGTTTGTATTCCTTTTCTCATACTGTTCCCGAGCACTAACAAAACATGATATGTTTCAATTCTAGCCAAGCACAAAACAAACGTTTCGTGAGCATTGACTTTAATTTCCTTTGTTTCCCTGTTTCTTTATAGTTAAATTAGCTTTAGCTTTATAGTTAAATTATTTTATGGGACTCCCTTTGAATTTTGCCACAATTTTCGTAAGCAAGCTTTCAATGCCGTGATTTGGCAACTCTAACTGAATTTAGAGTGAGATCACCTAATCAGCCATCGTTGTATTTGNTTGTGGTTTAAACTTTGTGGCTGGCTGCAGCTAAATGTAAATCAACGCATCATCAGCGCATCTCATACTTGGATGAGTCAGGCATCATTAAAACGAAAGCCATCAAATTAAACAGCTTTACTAGATATTGAAACATTTTATATAGTGATGTCCGTGTCACGTTCTCGCAGTGCATTATCGCCCAACAACAGTATTACAAATGGAAAAGGCGGCGGTGGCAGCGGCATAGGCGTTGGAGCTGGTGGTAGCAGCAACAGCAGCGGTTATGTCAAAGACCGGTATATACACGAATTACCACTGCAGCAGTTGCGTTTGCTTTGTGAACATTTGGATGAAATGCAAATTTGGATGCAATTAGCCGAAGCTATGCAACTACGGCCGGCAGATGTGAAGGTGAGCAAGTTAGAATGTCGGCAAGTCCATTTACGTATGCCGACGATAACGCCGCCAAAAAGTGGTTTCAAGCCTGACTATCTACAAATTTATTTTCACTACATTTATTTATTACAGTTCATTAACCAACAACAGGAGCTGGGTAAATCACCATCATGGCAATTAATGCAAAAGTGGGGCATTGAGTGCAAGCATACAGTTACTGAACTTTTCATGTTGTTGTGGAAGTAAGTCGAACTTGTTTTTGTATTATATGTATGTATTTAAGCTATGAAATAATGCGTTCATGTTCTTACATACTTACATACATACATATTTATTTTGCAGAACAGAGCAACATCACGCAATGCGTATGCTAAAGGATTTCGTAGAACGCAAATATCAGCTACTTATTCCCCGCAGTCAACCGCGCTTAACTATGCTTATGGCCGCCAACTCGG